TCTCTTTGGTGACTTAATGTTTTTTTTTTTTTCGTTTTAACGCAGCTCTTAATTAACATTTTGAAATCCACTTACGCATGACCTGCCCCCCCAGCACCCAGTCGCATCTCCAGCAACAGCAACAGTCACAGCCGCAGGCCTCAGATATAAATTTATTCATTAGTGGAAAACCGGTATCATTTCTGTCAGAGATAGTTTTAGTGTCTGCCTATCTCCACATCAGAGTCTCAATCTCAATCTGAATCTGAGCTAAGTTGTTGTTGCATCACACACACACACACTCGAGGCTTGGGGCCTCCAAGGTCAAGATGGTTCCCTACTTGGGCCTTGCCTTTGATGAGGTGCGCACGTTTAGGGCGTGTTTTTTGTGTTAATAAAGACATTAACCTTGGTCTCTGGCAGCGGCAGACCGCTTTCTTTGGACACCTGCTGTGCAGGTGGGTTCACATTTTAAAGTGACTTTTTTTGAGAAGGGTTTTGCTTCAGGTCTTATGGTTTATCATGTGAATTTCTTCATAAAAAACAGCTTAAGACTCTCTTATCAAAAGCATCCATTTCAGTTAAACTTCATTTCCATTCTCTAGGTTCTTCTGAAACTGGCCAAGTTTTGGTGGAGCTCTCAGGCATGTTCTCAATTTGATTTGCATAGAAATTTCATAACTTTTTGGGTCTTCATTCCATTAAAACTCACACCTTACGCATCTTTTCCCACCCACTTTCAGATTCATTGACAAATTGTAGTTTATTTGCAGTTTTATGGCATTTCGTATCCATACTTTTGCAGAGTTTAAACTTGGAAATTCCTCGCACGCTCAAAGACCACATCTTTGGAATAGATATTGGCATTGTTCCCCGCTCGTTCGATGTTATCGTAATGTGTACCTGCAGCTGCGGGAAACCCTGCTGCTACCATGACAACCTTACCCCCAAAAACCACTTGTACTCGTACTCTATATGTACATATAACCTCCTCTCCATAGTTTTAACCTTATGCATTAGCCAAAGAGCCTCGTCCTCGCACCACACTAGTTTCTACCCATCTGCCTGCTTAAATTTCCAATCAGAGCATGGAGACACACGCACTCACAACCAGATGAGGTCTCCTCCTCTCGGCTGTCTGTTCTCTGTTCTCTGTCGATTGTCCGGGCCAAGCTCATTATAAACTTTACCTCCACTGCTCCCCTGGGTGCTAATTTGTGCTCTATGGGGGGTTCGAACTGCGTGGGGTGGGCTGGGGGTTGATTGGACCCGGGTGTCTTGGGTTGACTGGACCATTTAGTGGGAAACGCAATGCCGTAATTTCCTTTAGCATTTCTATTAGGCGGCAAATCATGCACAAAATTATACAAAGGATATGGCCGCCAGTCAAATGGGATGAGGATATCTACACGGATACGTAAAGATGAATACGTCTGGACGATGGACTCCCACATAGACTGTTGAAGTCAGCAAAATCGTGTCACTGATTTGCATAAATCCAAAAAGAGACCGAAAGAGGCATTTGACAATTGCCGACAATTTGCTGGCAAAGATATCGATGGATTCCCGCTTCTCCATCGATTCTTTCCTTTGTTTTCTTTTCGTTGGTTTTCTGAATCATCCCATTTGATTTCCTAAATGATAGTCATAAACCGCCCCAAGACTTCATCTCCACACGCCACGCCACGCCACGCCACTCCACTCCCATGACCATTTCCATCCATTCCTTTGAGATATTTGTGAGACAATAGTGGCTCGTAATTTGGCAGCCAGTTGTGTGCGAATCTTTGCCGCTGACTTGACTGAATGAATATTTATACGTACATATGTACATATATAATATTATATTATGTATAAGTATCCCGTACACATACATATGAATAAATGTTGACTATGTAGCCATCGTTGTTCGTGGTAGTTCCGCAATAATATTCATTTATGCAAATTTTTTTTGCCATGCATTCTTCCTAGTCTCTGGGGGGCTTTTAGTGTGCGTTCCAAACGTTTCTTTTTGTACTCTTTAATCCAAAAAGGGTTAGGCATATCATTTTCTTTGTTGGTTGGATAAGCATAAAGTGTTTCTGGATTTATGTACAACATTTTTACTACAAAACATAAATGTAAATCAATCAATTTTTCTACATTTTCGAGGGAAATATATGTGTGTGGGTACTATCCGCTTGTAACTGGTTTATCATTAATTTATATCACTATCATTAAACTCAAAATAAAGGGTTTTAAAATACAATAATATTCCCATTAGCATAAGGATATTTGAATTGGTTTAAATAGCACCGATAAATAAATAATTCATTCATTTGATGCTTCTTTTAATATTCTTAAAAACGATAATGAGGTAATGGATATCTTTCAAGTCGTAACCATCCATTACTGCATTTTAACTAGATTTATTTAAACTTATTTTAATTTCCATTGAGGCTTGCATCAAATTTAAATTCTACATTTGGAATCCGCGTGGTAAATAATGCGAAGTTCTCGGGAAATGCTCAATATCCACCTCCCCAGTGATGGTGCCAACCCCCTTGTGGCATCAACCGCACGCTGAACCCTTTTTGCGCTGTATTTAATTATTTGCATATACAAATATTTTCGCATGATGAATGCTGTGAGATTTTTTTTAATAGCCGCTTTTTGCCCTGCTACCGCCATCCGGAAATTTAATTGATATTGATGACGTTGCTCTCAGCCTGAGCCCGATGTCCAGCCGGCACCACCAGTGCGAAGCCGGAGCAGGAGTCGGGGTAAGAGTGGAGGCCCATCCAACCGTATTCCCCTAGTCATTAATCTAGGACATTACTTTGGGGGTATCGGATCAGAAATTTAATTTATTTCAATTGAAATCTGTTCCCTTCTCTGATTCATGGGGGAGTTAATCATCGTTTGAAAATCTGTTCACGTTCAGCCGCTTTTGTTTGTCTATATACATATGTATGTATATTGCATTGTATCTAACGATTTCTGAGAATTAAATTTGGAAATATTTGTTTTAGTTGACATCATCAATTATGGCAAGCATTTTGAGTTATTGTGTCACATCGGAGAATGCTATCTCTGAGGGAATTATAGACTTGGAGAGCTAATAAAACATAAAACATAGAACGTTTTATGTTAAACAAAAGACAATATAAAACAGCTAAGCTCATGTCAAGTTATGGTGAATACTCGCTTTAGAAAAATTTATTCTTTCCGGGGTTGGTCTTACAGAAATCTCTTGAGATTCACTTTTATACGCCTCTTGCTGAATAAATGTGCAAAAATATACCCAGTTGCATTTGAATCAGTCAGAGAAATAGTTTCCAAGATGCATCCAGATCTGAGTTCTGATAAAAATAACAAAAGTTCCCTTGGGACAAGGCAAAAATTAAGTCGCAATTTGGCCTCTGAGAATCGCAAGTTGCCCGGAATCGACAAATTCAGCGCACACAAAGGAATTCTAATCAGTCTCGAAAGTGTAATTAAGAACCCCGCCGATCAGGAATACAAAAAAATACGAAAATAGCGTCAGAGGGGGAATCAAATGGGTTCTATCGGTCAAACTGATAAGCAAACAGCTGACTGCCATGGATCCATTTTAACGTACATGCAGTAAACAGAGTCAAAAGCAGACGCTCGAGAGCCCCTTCCCGGCTTGAAATGCAAGAAAGAAAGAGGCGAGTCGTGCTCGCTAATCAACAGTAATAAAAACTACAGCAAACAATAGGCAAGTAAATATGGCGCATATATGTACAAGGTATGCTGTCTACAAGGTGAGCAGTCTAGTTATCTGTTTTGTCTTCCGCCACTCTTTCCATGCACTTGAACAAGACAGTCACCAATTGTGAGAACTGGTTTGTAGAACGCTTCACCTTATATTCGTACACCTTGCACATGCATGTTCGTGTCTTTGTGTGGGGGGTATGTATTGCATTTATGTGTGTGTGTGTGTGGTAACAAAGCAAGCAAAGTGAATATTAACTGTAAATTAGCTATTTTTTCTTAATATTAAACCGTAATGCCCGCCAATGTGTTCCCCGTTAGAAGCTTTAGTCACTCGGGAATTCGTTATTGACTTAAATCGTTATTGGCCTTCACGAAAAGCGTTAATGTCGCAATTTTCGCGCTGCTGAATCATAACAAAACACACGCACACACACTCACCTCAGCATTCCCCGCCTCCTGCTCTTCCATAAGCTCCACACCAGCTGCTTGGCCCAAAAGCAAAAAGAGCGCAACTGTTGCTGCGGCGTACAGCCTCATCTTGGTGCTGCTTTTACTGTTGTTTATGGAAAAATTGTGATTTATTCGTCTTGGCACCGTTGACGTTTGCGTAAAACTTTCACACGTAACGCAGGTAAAAACGTATCTTGGCGGAAATACGCCGCTTCAAATTGTGTTTCTTTTTTTCCGCGAGCGACGGAGCAACGCGTCTAAACAAACGAACGAATTGGAGAAACAGTGGGGAAACTTTGCTGAAAACATGGATGGTTTATATGATAAGGTATGGATGCAATTTTTTATGCCAGCGAGCTTTCTTTCGAGCTTTTTGATTTCTTGACATGCCTTGCCATCAAAAAAAAGCTTTCAAGAGGTTAATTTCAGGGAAATTATAATTTATAACATATCGATATGGATGCATTTTTGTATACGAAATTGGTGTGAGGGCCTTAAAAAACGATCGCCCACCTGCTTGACATACACCTTGCTTTCAATTCCAAAAATGTATACGGCGCGTTTTTCTTGGATTTTGATATTCTGCTTAATATTAGCAGCTAGTTAGGGATCTCAGCGCTAAAACTTTAATTTTATACAATTGATGATTTAGTTTTTTACAAGTTTGGCTAATTTTAAGCACTCCCCACTATTGGGTTTTCCATAAATCCTTCGAATTCCTGTAACCTTTTTTAGCCAACAAACCCACTTCGTGCCAATGCTGCAGAAGTGTTCCTCATTTATCGATAGTACCGAAGAACCCATAAAGCAACTATGGATGGGAATTTTAAATATTTAAATCAGTGACTAAAAACTGCAGAATAGTAAACTAATCTAAAATATAGCTTTAACATTATGTGGAACACTTGAAGCCAATCCGGCGACTGCGTAGACTGTGCGTGACCTGGCGAATGGATCGCCCAAAACGGAAATGCACAAAAACAAACACCATGGAGGTAACCGCTGGCAACAATGCCATCAAACAGTCGTCCCACAATATTGATAAAGCGCCTTTTTCGCTATTTTTCACACATTCCGTCCTCCAGCATGAGTACGCACTCGGGTCGCGCGTATCTGAATTCCTGCCTCAAAGTGCCCATAGATCCATGCAACAACTGTCCGGCTCCGGTCTACAATCGTCCGAAGCTCTGTCTGGGCAAGAAGCAGGTGGGCAGGACGGGTCGCGCCAAAAGCACTGCCTCCATGGAGGCGGACACACCTGGATGGACCACCCAAACGGGTATCCGATCGCTGGCCAAGTTCTACGACAGTATACCTGGTGAGTGAAGGTCCCAACATGATTCCATTTATAGTGACTTGTGCGAGTTCCCTTCCAGACTACTGTGATGTGAAGCACATGCACCAGGAGGAGTTCTACTCTACGCTGGAGAGCCTGCGCAGCACCAGCCGCGAGCTGAGAGCCCAACCCACAGCGGTGCAGGCGCCGGCGGAGCGTTGTGCCAGTGCCAGCAGCAGTTCCGTGGGAAAGTCCAAGAAGCGCGCGGGAAAGGCGAAAAAGAAGAGACCTCCGCAGGTGCTGGATCCAGCTCCGGGTGCAGTGCCAGCACTGAGAGGCGGCCATGCCAATCGCTGCTCCACGCCCGCAATAGCCCTCACTCCCAGCTCCAGTTGCCTGAGCGAGGAGTACGACAAGTGCCTGAGGGATCTGAGTCGTTTGAAGAGCTTCAAGGAGGACTATGCCGTGGAGGTGGCCGACTTCAAGCGTTCCCTAAAGAGCTTCGAGGAGGAATTCAAGCGCCCGAAAACCACCAGCAGCAGTTTCACACAGACGGCACACAAGCCCCATCCAACGGGTCCGCCTGGGGGGCACACGGCGGAGCGAGCCAAGTGCCGCCGGGAGATGCTGCGGCGATGTTTCAGCGTCAACGATTTGGCTGGGATTCCACAGAACGCGAGTCTCCCGTCTGCCAAGTATGGCCAGCCAAAGCTGAGCAATTACTTTCTACAGAAGGATGAGCAGGAGGTGGAGGAGGAGGTGCCGAAGATTCAAATAGAGTCGCCATCCGTGTCTTCCAAGCGCAGCAGCAGTGCCTCCGTCTCTGGGCGAGGGCGCAGCCGTCGTGGCAGGGGACGCAAGCCAAAGATTACAGCGATGCAATCCGATCCGGAGGACAAGTGCCGGCCGCCTTTGAGAATCTTTGAGTTGGTGGAGGATCTGCCAAAGCGAACGAGCAGCGTCTCGCCCCTACATCCGGTGGCGCGCCCCAATCTGGCAGCCACTCTGCGTGCCGAAGTGTCGCGGAAGAAGGTGAAGGAGCTGAAGAACAACTGCACCTACCACGACCCCAGGCCCCAGTTCGATTGGGAGGTACGCAAGACGCCTGCCTGGAAGTCCTTGTCGCTCAAGTGAGTGTTGTGTCCCTCGAGGAGCCGAAGACTCATCAAACTCCCTTCTTTGTCCTTTAGTGAATCACACAAAGCCTTGCTGTCCATCCGATTGGCCACGCGGAAGGCGGAGCAGGCGCTGCAGGAGCGCCAGTACGATCTGCACATGACCATGATGCGGCAGCGGGTCAAGTCGGCACCGCTGCTGCTGGAGGGACCCACGTTCTGGGGCCCGGAGGTGGGCAAGCTGAGCCACACGTGCCGCAGCGAGGGTCGGCGACACGCGTGCGAGAGCAGCAAGCAGCTGCGAAAGAAGTCCAGCTGCCCAGCGGCTGGGGAGGCAGACACCAAGTTGCAGCAGCTGCGAAAGATCTATGGATCTGAGAAGTCGTGCTCGCGCCAGTCGCAGCGCAGCAAGCGCTCCGCCCGTCGGCCCAGGAACCAGGAGACACCCAGCCACGACAGCGGCGATGATTTGTGCAGCGTGGATCGCGCCTTCCTCTAGAGACTCTCACTTAATTCCGAAGCACCTAGTCACAATACATGTAAACATTTTTTGGATGAACCCAACGTCAGCTCTTTATTCGGGCAGTTGCAAGCTGTGGAGCGAGGAGAAGTCTGCAATCAGCTCTTGTCCGCTCTTCTGGTCATCGGTGAGGGGAGCGTTGCCTGGACGCTGCAGCATAATTGCCTGTAGACCAGCGGCTCGTGCAGCGGCAGCTTCTGCAACGGACAGAACACAATCAGATCAATATATTTCCATCAGTCATCTTACCACTTACCTCCAGGAATATCCGTAAGGAAGAGAATGTTGCGTGGATCTTCGCCCAAGGACTTGGCGATGTTTACGTACGATTGCGTCTCCTGTTTGTGGCCCACGTGGGTGTCAAAGTGTGCACTGAGATGGGTCAGCAGGTCTCCGGCAATGCTATACTTGAAAATGAGCTTCTGGGCGGCCACACTGCCGCTGGAGTAGACGGCAATCCGAAGGCCAGCCCCCCGCCAAGCGGCAAAGGCACCAGGCACATCATCAAAGACACTGCGAAGGGGGTACAATCATAATTGGTTTATTGGGCATCTGCTTATCAGAGATGAGACTTACTGGCCCCTGAGTTCGCCGGTTTCGTAGCCCTGCTGCCAGATAAGGCCCTGGAGCGTTTTCAGTGGCGTCACCTTCAGATCTTTGTCAATCAGATAACGCACAAAGCCTGTGATGATCTGCACATCCACTTCCGTTGGAGGAACACGCAACGTGCTGGTGTATTCCGCATACTGTGGCACCTGTTGCAGCTCTTGGACAATCTGTTTGATCTCGGAGCTGCTTTCCCATCCGTCTGCGAGGAACTTTTTAACATTATTCTTTGCGTAGGGAAACAGAACGTCGTGCACAAAGCTGATGGATGTGGTGGTGCCTTCAATATCCACCAGCACCACATTGGCAACACGATCTGTCGACGGCATTCTAAAATTGTTATTTGTTATGAATTTTAATTGAATCTTCAAGAATTTAAATTTTAGGTTTTATGTTACAGCTCGATTCATGTTTGGCACGAGCTAATTTGTTCTTTTTGTTATTATATTTATTTAGCGATGGGTAGTGGGTGTGTTGTTATTTCTATTAAAGTTTATATGCGATGCGTTATCTCGATGGTCGATGGTATCGCAGTCGAAGTATCACAAATGTTACTTGCGACTACGTGTGTGCCTATCAAAGCACTGCCGCTAAGCTTTTAGTGTATTTAGGAACCATGGTTTAGAGCCTCGTTTCTGCTGTCCGTTAGGATGGCGAAATAGCATTGTCCAAGGCCTTATCAATTGCAAGCAACTCGGCGGACGGAAATGACAAGGTTTTGTGCGTATAAAAGCTAACTATGAAACCTGTGCTGTCGTGTAGGAAAGCTGCGCTAGAGTGTCTGTTAGCTGCTGATCCATCAGTGTAGTAGGTCTCGAAGCCTCCCCTTGTCAGGAGTGCCCTTTTTTCCCTATGGAGAACTAATATGCAGCAGCCCCCTTAAAAAAGTCGAAGTCTGACCTAATTTTGGTGCAATGCGAAGTTGTACACTCAAAGACCTCGATTCTCTCCAGAATATCGCCGAACTCCCTGTTTAGGAGGCTGTATGCAAAGGCCTTGGCTAACTCTTTTGCCGCTAGGAATCTCATTCTGTATTCTGTATTCGGGACTGGGGTGCAAATGATTAAGCCTTGATCAATGTTCAGCTCTGTTCTTCGAATGCTGACGGGAATCACATGGGTTTGGCTGGGTTGAAAGCAAGGTTAAGCCTGTTGCATCTTGCCTCAAAGCTGTCTATTTTTCCTACGAGCATACGTTTAGCAATGGGAATCTCTTTATGGAAGCAAATAATAAAAAAATCGTCCGCATACTGAAACAGTAAACAGTTGCCATCGTTTATCTCGTGCAGCTCTGCGGTGTACAAGTTGGACAGAGTTGGACTGAGGCAGCTGCCCTGACTAACTCCCCTGTTCACCTCAATCTCTCTCTTGCCCTTGATGAGTAGACGCCTGCTTAGGAGGCTGGCAATCCAGGCAGTGTGATTTGGGTCGAACTGCATGACATTCATCTTCTGCTCTAGCGTGCCACTCCTACGCAGTCAAAGGCCTTTGTAGGTCAAGACAGGACGCCACGACCTGAAGGCGTAGGATCTGACCGGCAAAAGCTCATGCATTGAAATATGTTCGTCCAGCTTTTACTTTATCAACCCCTCCATAAATAAAACACTGTATTTTGCAGTATTGTTCTTGTGTGTGGAGTCTCCATACAAGCAGCGACACAAATTACAAAAACAAACCAAAATAATTTGTAATACTAAGAAATCTGTACTGGTACTACCGAATACCGATATATACTTGCATATCCAGATTTTATCATATAAATTATAAATTATAATTATTTAAACCTTACTTTAGCAAATTTGTAAGTTTTATCTTTCCTTCCTCTCCTGTACTGATATTTAATTTATATTTATTACTCTTTCATACTCCATAATAAGCAGTTAATTCTTAATTGAAAATACATAAATAATTAAATGATATATACTATATATTTTCCATATTCCAATATTAATATATTTATTTGGCCACTTGAGTACCCCATTTGTTAAAACCAATTTAAAAATGACATTTACCAGCTCCTTTTAAACATTAACGATGTTAACGATAATTTATTAGTGATGACAATTTGTACAGAGATAAGTATGAATCAGAAATGCAATTGTTGTATTTTCTATGGACTAATCCTAATCCTAGGGCCCAGCCTAGGGCATGGAACCCAGACGCTTGTAGTCGATCTTCTCGAGCTGCACGAGCGGCTTTAATTGTTCGGCAAATAGGCGCATCTCTTCGCCGACATTCTCCTGCCCCGTGGGCGCCACCACAGACAGTTCCACAATGTAGCTCTGGGAAATTGGCTCATTGGCCATGTCCTGCTGCTTGCCGGGTACGATTTTGATGAGTTTTGACACTGTAATCTTCATGCGTCCCTTGCGAAACATATATCCCTTGGCAATGTATTCGAATTCTATGCGAAATCCCATTTCGGTGAGAAACTCCATAATGCTGTCCGTGCAGGCACAGTCTATGCAACTGCGCACCAGTGTGGGTCGACGCTGGTCCACCTCTGGCTGGCCGAGATAACGAATCTGAAAAGGGGCATCCCGGCCCAAGGCACGACGCACACGAAGCAAAAGTGGCTGATTGGAGTTCGGTTGATGCAGACTCATGCACACCTCCATGTCATGGAATGCCTCCGGTGATGTGTCCACATTATCGCAAAGACCTTTTAATCTGTGCATTAGATGTTCGGCGGCCGATTCCAAGATGGATCCTTGCAGCAAGTACTCGAGATTGGGAAGACCGCGATTGTTCATTGCGTGTGACAGTGACTCGCGGTCCGAAGAGACAAAAGCCATAGTAAATATTTAAGTTAATAACTATTAAGTCTATATTGCGATTTGCAATTAAAAGTTTGAATACTGTTTTGTTTGTTCATGCAATAGTTATCGATTAGTTGCCGGCTAATGGTGTTGCAAAGTGCCCGTGTATCGTGGCCTCGATGAATATACTAACTATCGTAAGAGATCGCTCCTCTCTCATCACTAGCTCATAAAAATAAGATTTTAGAAAAAAAAAAAATAGTTAATTTGCGCTATTTCTACCATAATCTGCTCTAAAAACCAACAAAACAAGTCAAGGTTAACCCTTCCAGAGCGTGGCGCTTAAAGTTGAAGTGGTGCAAAGCGCAAATGTATAGATAAATTCCGATAGCAAGCAGAATAAAGCATCAGCTGCATTGTGTGTGCGTTTTTTTGTTGTAGTTTATTTGGCATATATTCGGGTGGCCTACGTGATTAAAATACACATGAAAAGAGGGCTAAGAGTGAAATGGGGCAGGGCACAGTTGGCTAACAAGAGCCGCGGCCGTATTTTTGCAAAATAATTGATAGCGTTCGTCGGAAACAGCTGAAATCGCCAATAATCTGAGACGCAGCCCCGTTTCAGTGTGTGGGTGTGTGTTTCTCTGTGTTTTTGCTTCTCCGCGCGTGTTTGTTTGAGTGTGTGTGTGTCGGGGGGCGAAGGTACAAACACACCCACCCAACAAAGAACAGCCGCACTACCAGACCACTCTCAAGGTTAAAATCGGTCGTCGGCGCCCTTTGCTGCTGCCGCAATGCTGTGATGATGAGCAGGGGACGAGCCAAGGACACAGGGAACAGGAACCGCAATCGCGACCGCGACATGGAGACGCCTCGCTGCTCCATCTGCGGCACCACCCAGCAGCTGTTGCGTTGCGCCAAGTGCAAGGCCATCTACTACTGCTCGCCGGCTCACCAGCACATGGACTGGCCCAATCATCGGCAGGACTGCCGCTTGTTGGCCCGCCAGAAGAACAACAACAACAAGATGCAGCAGATGCAACAGCTGCAGCAGGCCGTGGCAGCCACCACACTGGAGGGCAGCGGCGCTGGCGCCAATTGCTCCACGGCCCAGATGATGACGCCGGCCCATCAGGCCCAGAGCTGGCCGGCAGAGGTGGACAATCTGTTGAATCTCCTCGGGCAACCGGGACAGGGGGGTACACAGCCATCAGGGGATGGCAGCCAGCGGCAGAGTCATCACCACCACCACAACCACAGTGGGGAGAAGAGCTCCAGCTATCAGATCGGACTGGCAGACGCCAGCTTCATGGGATCGGGCAGGTGAGTGTGTGACTGTGTCACGAAGTACATGTAAATGACACCTCCATTTAATGCACTCCAAAAACATTCAACAGAGAATGAGAATCCGGCACAGGGCTAACGCCAATACATGAACATAATTTGGAACTGGGCCAGAAATGGGATACGAGATTCTATAGATACTTGAGTCACTTGATAACTAGACAACGTTGGCCATCTTGACCAGATCCAACAACGACTGGGGGGCAGTACCCATGTGGCCGGCCATCACTCGTTCAAACTGCAAGCCCTGTTTGGACCCGTCCTGATCCTGGGCTACTTCCCACTGGGGACGCAGCGGCTTGCCATGGGCCGCTGCTGGAGCGATGGACTGATCTTCGGCTGCATAGATTGTGGCCATTGCTGAGCTGGCTCCCTCGATCAGCGCCAGCACCAGACACCCGATGACTGCACTGTTTGCCATTTGGCGGACACCCTGACGGGCAGCGAGAATGCCTCCCGTGGCAGCGCCGCTCACAATCGAGTTCCACGAGTCCTCCCGCTGTCTGTAGTGGACTAGCACACAGTCCACCGTGCTGAAGGTGGCACCCCAAACGGCAAAGCTGCCGGCAATCCCAGGGGTCTTCAATTTCACGGAATCCAATGCGCCGTAGAGCCCGCGACGTAGTCCGGACGGGGCATCCCTGAATCCCTTCAGTGACTGGAACAAGGCACCGCCAAAGGTGCCCATCATGAAGGCACAGCCGCAATCCTCCACAATCCGTATGGGACAGGGCTGACGAGTATACTCCATCCTCTCTCTGGGCTGCCCCCAAATCGAAATCTCTCACTATCGTGATGTCTTTTTATTGTCGATCCCTTTGCGAGGATGTCTGTATTGTATTTTGTTTTGGTTCCTAACCGTCTAACGTGTATTTTTCGAATGACTTTTGGGGATTACATGAATTTTAAGCTCGTGTTGCTGCTTGTGACTTTTGTTTCAAATCGGATGGGATCGAACTGAGAGTTTTTAGTAGAGTGGGGAAATAAATGTTTATTGTGACCTTGAAACGGAATCTCTTTTCCAAACTTTATTTTGCACTACTTATCTTTTGTACAGCTATACGTACGATCTGTTATAATATCAGCTGAAACATCTGATGGAACGAGCTATTGTTCCGTTTAAAATACTTTTTCGCAAGCTAAAGTGTGTGGCGAAAGCAGATTAGTAGCCGCCGTGCCTCGCACCCTAGCATGTGCATTCCTTTCCCCACTTGCATATCAAGACAATTATCGATAAGCGTTACGTGCGATGACTGTTGACGGGTGGTTCTGCCCTGCAACCCCATTCCCCCTTATTTCCATTCCCCCACTTAAAATTCTTTATTTGAACTCGAAATTTATGAATCTCATGCCCCCGTACAAGTGTGTTTTTGCCCCTTCGAGGGAGATTAGATTGTCTCCGGGCTGCAGTGTTAAGAGTGATAGAGAGGGGAGGCTCCTGGGAAAGGAATGCGGAGAGAGTGTTTACCTTTGGCTGTACGTGCCCGGGAATCGAATGCATATGGCGGTCGGACTGCTGACTGCAGTCGGATTTCCACGGACACCAACACCCGGACAGCGCTTTCATTGTAATTATTCTGTTGCGCAGTTTTTCAGTACCAAATATTGTTTATAATCACTTTTAAATACCCTCATTGGTCGAGCCATTATCTTTTTGGTTAAGTTGGAATGGAAAAACTGCGAAAGAGCCATCGGAACAGTCTGAATTATATTACCAAATCCTCAACGACTGACTGTAATATTTCTCTTCTATCTGTTCTATCATTAAATGACGCTAGCTTGCTGCACAAATTTCCCATAAGAGAAGAGACACCATCACCAAAGTATACCCCCACGATATTTGAGATGAATAATTTACTGCTTGAAGAATATCCCTAAGATGTTTTGCATAAAAATATATCTAACCTCCATGCAGTTTATATAGATGGTTCTTTCTAAGGGTATCTACAGCGCGGTCTCCGTAGTCCCCTACTTTTTCTGTTGTTTCTCTTCACACACTTATGTATGTATGTATGAATGAATACATGCGTGTATTTGTTTTCATTTTACACACCAGAATACAACCGGCATTAAGAGACACAATAAATATGGTTTCTGCACACACTGTCTATACATTCATAGGTGGGAGATTCTTTAGCAAACGTTTCTTGTTGCTGAATCATCGACACAATTGCGCGTTTGTTCCTTTTGTTCCCATCGTTCGGGGCTTACCGAGTGGGTGGTCCGCTCCGTTTCGTACTGTCCGCCCATTCACTTGGGTGGTCGCCTCCGATTTTGCGTACGTGCCGGGCATACGCAAGTCTTTCGTTCAAATGTTGTTATCATTTATCGTAGTACTATTTCCGACTCATTTGCTTTTATTTTTGTTGACTTTCTGCTGCTGCTGCTCCCCACAGCTGATGGCGGTATCGGGAACGAGATCGGGATCGGGACGAGCAACTTATGTTGTTCTTTATCAAACAATTAGCAGTGGCATGATCTCATTGGGGGTTTGCACAAAATTCTACATTGTTTATAAATGTGTTAACAAAAAGCTGAGACTGGGGGCCTTTTGCTCACGTCTGTTCGCCTGTCAAGCGGCCGGTGTCTGGTACATTCCGGTCCGGGATCGGGAACGGGTTCGCCGGTGTTTATTGGGGTGGGGCCAAGATAAACAAAGCATTGCGCAAAACGTGCTAAACAGCGATCTACTAAAACCGCATCAATGTCTCTGTCGGATGGTCGGATAAGAAAGGTCAATATCCAGCGCAAAGTCGAATCTAGTATTAAGGGCTTTCACCTTTTGCCTGTTTGATAATTTTAAGGAGATTATAGACGGTTGAGCGGAGAATTCTAATTTTGAAAAGTTAATTAGGGCCTCTCTTAAAAAGTTTTGTTTTGCAATTTCCCATCACCATCGGTCATTGATTAAGGATTTAAATTAATAAAAAATCTTTAAAAAACCATCGTAAACACATGATTTTCTTTAATTGATTATGGTTTAGCAATGCTTTTGACAGATACATGAAATGCTTAGCTGACTTTTCATTTACTTATTGAACAGCTTTCGAAACTCGCTGCACAGATGGAACTACTCAAACTAAGCCGTAATCATAATATGCGTAATTTATACAAATTACTTATTGATTATAAAATATATCCCATATAAAAGCTTTTTCAATTGAAATTATGACATACGGGAATTCGAACACTTATCTACATATTGTATTGGATGTACATTTTATACTTGGAATCGAAATAAGAGAACATGTTATTTAATTTCCACGAAATTTGACTTCGGGTTATATGTATCATTATCGGAATTGTCCAACAAACTTAAGAACACTTTTTGAATTACAGAGGTTTTAAGTTGGAAAACTTCATGTTAAACCTAAAAGATTATACCATTCCAGGCCTTGAGATGGATTCGTTGATTTCCATGATATTCTGCCATGTGAATGCACCTTACGTGTCATCTTATCCCTTCTTAAAAGCCTCGGGCGTTAATTCCGACCGTAGATACACGAATTGATCAGTTTCCATGGACCTCGAACCATCATCTCCATTCCCACAACAAATCAAAAGCCAGACGGTACAAAAATAGTAGTGTACAACGTAGCCAGACGCACGTCATCAAGGTCGCCTCCTCAGTGCGTGTGCGCCGCCCGCACCCCGACCCCTGGCGGCTGTTCTTCCCACCGCCACCAGCTGAAACCGGTTGGGGGGTGGTGGGAGGTGTACCTGCGTGTGGTACACGTGCCACCGCGCCAGTTGTCGCACGTAATACATCTAAAAGGCGAGAATGAAGGGTTCGAAGGGCTCACAATCGATCATTCCACTATTTACCCAGAGAGCGAGATAGAGAGGGTGTATACTCATTCCGCTGTCCGCTCTCTTCTCTCTGACTTTGAACTGGGACGTTGACCTAATTTAGCTGAGAGCATTTTTTCTCATGTTTTATGATGTTTCCCCATCCTCTTCCTATTCTCCATTTGTTTGTTGTACAATTCTCGAGGCATTATTTTTTGGCAGATTCGTTTTACTTGCTTGGGAAACATGTATTTAAATATCTACCTCTCCCTCGTTCCTTCCCCCTTCTTGCTGTTGCTCTTGCACTCCCTTTTGCTCGCTTGGCGTCTCACTCTAACGGCCGGGTAACTAACGCGTGTGCGTGTACGTTTTCGTGCTGTGTGCGACCGCTTGCGTGCCATTGTGCATGTGTTGGTGTGCGCTGGGCTACGTGACGATTGTTGCGCTTGTCTTTTTCTGCCTTTGCCTTTGCCTTTTGCGTTTGCTTTGCCGTGTGAGTTTGTTTGCATTTGCTTCGAGTGTGTTTGCTGTCTCTGCTGTGTGGGCGTTGCAAGCGCTTGAAGGGCAAACGGAAGGAAGCCCCAGTCATAGCAATCACATATGTATTTGATATTCTGATTTGATAGCGAAACAAAACTGAGGCGCAGTGACCGGCAACTGTCATATTTTGCATCAGCAATTTTCCCCGTTTTGCCAAATACATGTCTGTCTGTGCAAGTCGCAAAGTTTGTTATCTGCTGCCGCTACGGTCGCCGTTTTCATTTTTCAATTATTTACTCACACCCGACGTGCTTATCAATTTACTCTTGTGGCGTTTCCCATACCCCGAAAGCACTCCTTCTCTCATTCTTCTCTTACTCTCCCCCCATGCCAAGGTATATGAATGTATGGTGAGGCATAGTCACTCACTACTGTTTGCTTGCCAAACAAATTTAGTTCTGTTGAAGGTTGGTTTTTTTGAACATATAGTAAGAACTGACCCAAAATGGAGAATAAGTGGAAGATGGCTGCATACTTGATGATCCACAAGCCTGGAAAATCTGAAGAAGAGCCGGAGTCGTATCAGCCAATAAGTCTCCTGTCTTACTTATCCAACGTTTGGGAGAGACTTATGGCCAATTGTCTTGGAGATTATATAAGAGAATACCGTATATTGCCGGATCACCAGTTTGGCTTTCCTTCAAAACTCAGGAAACACTCTCAAGAGATCCTTCTGCCAATGCCTTACCCTCTATTAATACACTTTGGCAACCTGCACTATAAACTCTGTCTCACTCTCGCCTACGCGTGAGCCAACGGGGGGCAACTGTAAACGCTGCCGCACCGTATTCGTTCAAACGTCGTCGAGAGCGGTTCGTGCTATCGGAGCAGCTGCCTCGTTTGTACATTAATTGAATGCTGAAGCTAGAACGATACACAAACGTGACTAAGGAAGGAAGACAGAAGCAAATGTTAATGAAAACAAACAGCTGCAAATACAGAAACACAAAAACAATAAACGCAACAGCTGGCTGAAGCAAATGCAATCTGCAATTATTCATACCTGTGCACTCACACCAAGCCCAAGGCCAACAAAAAACATTAGCCTTAGTCGCCCTATACCAATACGATAAAACCGGCTCTCCCTCTCTCTGTACCACACACGCGCGCTACTCTCTCGGAGCACATAAAACACGCGAACAGTTTGAAACTTTCTTCATTTGTGCGTGAAAATTGTTGCTATAGCAGTCGCTCAGACAGAACTTCACTCCTGCCAAGATAAATGATCTAAGTACAAAGAACCCTAGTGAAGAACTGGAAAATATTCATAGGTGTAGTGTTAACAGAAGTGATTTAGAACAGTATCAAAAGAAAGCTACGCTACGCTGAGTGATAAACGCAAAATGATAACCTCCACTACAACGGACTATCAGAACTTCTTCAAGCACACGGCGCATCCTGCCAATGCCGAACAATTCTTTCGGGAACTCTTGGATAAGCGGTAATAATAATGGATATCATGTGTGATGACCATTTTTTACGGGCTCCAAGTTAAACGATGTAAAGATCATAGGATAGGAAGGGTTCGTGATAGATTAGCAGATTATCAGAGTTGAGTATGGAATGAATACACCTAAAACTGCAATTAGTTGATTCTTAGTAGTATAAGGAAGTTTACGTTCTCGAACCTCGTTAAAAGTGGATAGAATATAGTAACAATCAATGCACACTCCTACTGATTTCTTTCCTGAGGTATTTGCACTGAATAACAGATTTAATCGATTATGAATGCCAAAAATGAAACCGGTTAACGGTTTCTGTTTGAGATCTTCAATGCCGCATCTCTCTCCTCTCATTGCTTAATCTATGAATTTATATCAAAAAACTTGATATTTAAAAGCTTGTAGCATTGGGCGATCGTCTCTCGATCATCGGTGCAACACGTTTCAGTCATTTTAATTTATTTCGGGTTTTAGACTGTATTTTCTTTTTATAGCCATTCTGAACTTGTGAAAAATGTTTCATCTTTGTTTTATATATTTTCGAGTTGTTTTGTGATGTAGGTTTTGCTTATCCAGAAATTCGCAATCGTTTTGGGGGGCGATCTGGATGGTGGGGATGGCCTACGTGACTACGGTGACTGGCAGAGAGATTTAGAGAGAGAGAGAGCAAACATTGGTTTTATGGAGGTGTCGTAAAAAAGTCGTAAAATATGGTGTATAAATGTACACATATCATTATTATAGTTGTACCAAAGCAAATAAATAACGCTTAAATGCAAACAAACTTTTGCATATCGAAGCGTGAACCGTTCCCAGTATCTGGTCTATAAATAGATTGGAAATGCAGCCGAGGCAGGTCTAGACAGTGGACACTTAGAATGCCGTAAGGTGGGGTTTCCCCCAAGGTGACCTCACCCAGATAGGCATATATAGATCTATCTATCGATATATAGAAAGAGTGCCTTTGTAAGAAATTGTCCATACATATACAGCTAAATAAATATGCATCTTTGAATTTACTTTGTATACTCATCCAAATTCTTTGTTATTTTTCTTTCTTTTTCTTTCCCCCAAATAGCGAACGACGCTATGAGGATTTGTGCCGGAACATCATCAACGACATGAACCAGTATGGCCTGTCCGTGGTAGATGACTTCCTGGGAATGGAGACGGGCCTGAAGATCCTCAACGAAGTGCGGAGCATGTACAATGCGGGCGCTTTCCACGACGGACAGCTGGTGGACAACCAGAAGCCCGATGCTCCATCCTCGGCGGTGCGAGGTGACAAGATTCGAGGAGACAAGATCAAGTGGGTCGGCGGCAATGAGCCTGGTTGCAGCAACGTTTGGTATCTCACCAATCAGGTGAGAGTTTGTGTTCCTCCGGTTTCAAAGGATATGTTACTAATAAATATATTTATCTATATTCAACAGATTGATTCTGTGGTATATCGCGTGAATACAATGAAGGACAATGGCATCCTGGGCAACTATCACATCAGGGAGCGCACGAGGGTAAGCATATACCATGGATAATCCTCAAAAGCGATTAGCTAATCCTATTAATTTTTCCTCTCCTTAGGCAATGGTTGCCTGCTATCCCGGATCGGGTACACACTACGTCATGCATGTAGATAATCCCAACAAGGACGGTCGCGTTATTACAGCCATATACTACCTGAATATCAACTGGGATGCGAGAGAAAGTGGTGGAATATTGCGGTAAGCTGAAATCTCAATTAAATTCGGACAATTTAGTAATCCGTTGACTGGCTATAGGATTCGACCCACGCCTGGGACCACTGTGGCGGACATTGAGCCAAAGTTCGATCGGCTGATCTTCTTCTGGTCGGACATAAGGAATCCCCACGAAGTGCAGCCAGCCCATCGTACCCGCTATGCCATCACCGTCTGGTACTTTGATGCCAAGGAGCGAGAGGAAGCGCTCAATCGGGCCAAACTGGAGAACAGCAGGACAAATAATGCCATCATCAGCAGTACGTCCCAGGGACATGCACAGTCTCAAGCACAGCAGGCCGAACCCGATTCCACAACTACACTACCGCCACCCGCCACAGTAGCCACAGCGACAGGAGCATCCTCACCCACATTGTCCGCACCTGCAGCCGTATTGCCCGCCAGCATGTCCACGGGGACGGGGGCATTGAATGCGAATGTTCCCAGCAACTCCTGCGCAGCCAGTAGCGAGATATGCACGTAACACAGCTCTATAATCGTGGCGGAATCGGAAGAAAGAAAGGGCAACCAAAAAGTGTAAATTATTTCCAAAACACTCTGTAAAAAGTTAGTTAAAAACTATTTATGTACACAAGTCTAGAAGCGGGTCAGGCTCAGGCCCAATCGAGTCAAGACCAGTTTGTAAACGTGAATCAAAGCTCCTTTAGTCGTTAAGCCTTCTAGTTGTAGCCTCTAAGTCGTACGTTTAGTTAGTCTCACACATTAACCCCTAGCTAACTGCTTTTTCAGTGATCGAGTCGATTGTTTTAGCATCTTTTTAATTCGTTACAAACTTTCGCAATTGCGAAATTGGGTTCATTTCATTGTTTTCTTGCTGCCAAAGTATTATATCTAAAGAGCAGTGCATCAACAATAACAACAATCGCCGTGCTCATTCTATCCTATCTCAAAATTGTGCCAGTAGATTGTATGAAATGTGATTTCTTCTGGCATCCCACACCCCACTCACTCAATCTGTCGACTCTCATGCATCTAGTACTCGTAGTTAGAAATCTTTTTCATATCGTTAGGCGACAACAAAATCTGTTCTCTTGTTAAATTCTAGAAGATTAATTATCCATATTTATGGCATATCTACATACACTTGTATGTATGTACATATATGTATGTATATTTTTCTATTAAATGAAAGCCTGAGCAAATGCAACACGTGTCTTAATTAATGTATGTTATTTTTTGTTGTTTGGGCTATTAAATGTTTGGGAACTGTGTGTTTTCTATGATTACTTAAAATAGGTCGACCGTCTGTGAACTTGACAAGCTGTTGCGAAATGTTTAATTAATAAGAGGAGCTATGATTAGTTTACATAGTCTTTAAATAGCGCAAGGTTCGAGGTTTTTACATGGGTAGACAAAGTTCAAGACTATGTTCGGGCTATGTAAGGCGATTCAGACGTACCCAAATGCGAGTAAAGATGGGAAAGGGGCAGCAGCAACTTAGATAAAGTCAAGATGTTGGTAATATCAGGATGCGTTACTTGAAAATCAGTATCCTCATGATCCTGATAAAGTATGTAGGCCCTTCGAAGAGCTGTTTCAAATACTGCCAAACTGAGCGACAAAATAATAAAAAGCTCTTTCGCGTGTTAAAATGTCCCAAATCATAAAAATGATTCGATTTTTGTTGATATTTGAATATACACTTTATTTTTCAGAAAAAGTTGTTCATTTTCGCAATGACTTTACATTTACATATATGTATAGTATATATATTTATATATATTCTCCTGCCGTACTGCACTTCATGTGTTTTGAGTGTTTAATTTTTGGTTTTTGCTGGAATGCCCATATTATTATAATACGAGACAGGTTGCACACATGATTTGATCTGTTTGTTGTCTATATAATATTTAGAATAACCGAAGAACAACGACGAATGTATCATATGCCATTCGAAAAACAAACAACCAAAGCACATTTTTTGTTTTCAACTTTTACATCCATGAATATCTGCGTTTCTGCGAATATGCTTAGTACTTGGCCGTGGCCAAAATTCATCTAGATACTTGATTTGCTCTCCAAAAATATATATATATATTGTTGTATGTAGATATAATATATATGTATCTCGTATATACACACACGACTGGCGACTAACTGATCTACTAATTGCTGATGCTTCTCTTCTTGTCACTGGTCTGCTCTGTAAGTACTCCATCTATTTTCTTTGCCTGCAAATCTGTTGGTAGAAAAATAAACACCACTACCATCTCAACTCTTTGTATCTCCATCTTAACTCGTGTATAGCCCCTTTTCTGCTTGTCAAATCCTTCTATAGCTATTTTTTATGTACCGTTCGTCATGGCATTGACAAAGTTTTGCTCTAAGTGGATTTTTATACAATTTCGGTTCGGTACAGTTCGGGTACGGTTCTATATTCTGTATTCGATAAAGCTGAGAATGAATACTGAAACGGAGGGGCTAGATCAGTATGGGAGGTCCTTTCCTTCAGCTCCTTTCAGCCAAGCCAACTAACAATTGCAAAATGGAATCAAATGATCCCAAAATATATATATATATATTTGTATCTGTTTATATGTAGTATGTATATCTCTCTGGCATCTCTGGCAAATATATGTACTGAATAATCTGCCTCATCGAATTGTGCGAATTACATTTTGCCTTAATTTTGTGTTCGGTGCGCAACAACTAGAAACTCTTTTTATTTTGCAATCTACTCAACACTGGTTGGGGGGCAAGCACTGGACACTGAGTGGGAAAAGTACTCGCACACTAGGCTGGGGTAATGCCGCACTAATTAGCTATGATATATGTATAGTATATTACACAAATACTAAGCACTTAATTGGAACGCACAACGAAAAACTCAAATGGGACAGAACAGAACCTATCCTCCATCTATCTATCATCTTGCACATCGATGATGTTAACAATTTGTTTTTTGGTTTTACAGTTTTCTCTTTCATTTTCATTTGGTATATGCACCAGTCTACAATTTAATTGACAGAAGTTACAATTTAAAAATATTTTGTTCTTACGCTTTGCTTTTTGCTTTCTGGTTTTACATTTTGCTTAATTTTCAACGCACAACAAAAATATCTACGAATTCAACAACATAGTTATCCGCAGGCTACCAAAATGAAATCCTATATACGAGTATATGAATATGCAAATTTCTCAGTTATGTAATCCCCTATTCTTTCTGCCTCTGTGTGGTGTGTGTTTGTGTGTTTGTGAGAGAGACATATAATACATGTAATTGACTTTCGGTCAACGAAACTAATCTTCGGTATACATATACGAGTAATATTTTATGATAGTAGGTAGGCCTCTCTCTCACTTCCATTTATTTTTTTGGGATCTGTAGTTTATACGAGTATATCTGTTAGTAAACGCATTTTGGTCTCAAGATTTTTGTTGTGTGTTTCTCAAATGAAGTTCGCGCAAAGTCGGGGTGAATTCTGAATCTCTCAGTTGTGTTTATGGGACTATCATTATTATTTTGACACGCTCTGTAAACAAGCATTTGCTCTAATTTCCAATGTCCTCTATATGTAGTCCTAAAAAAAAGTCTTCCGTTTACACAATACAACAGGAATATCATCATCATCATCATCATCTTGATTGGGGTTTCAGGATTCTCATGCGTGTTGAGGAGGATATATGCATGTATCATATATAGCATACGTTTATCGTATCTGCGGTTAGGTTACATAAAAATTGTCCATCTGTCAAGATCGTTTAAATAGTATATAACATCTAAAAACATCTTCTTTGGCGTGAGTCTCCATAGTTCGTTTCACCATATATCATATCGTACTATATCTGCACTAGTGGGTTGTGGGTAGGGCGGGCGTGCAAAAAGTTTCAGCTAAATTTCTCTAAATTGTTTGCATGCTAAAGAGGGTTTTCTGCTGGGATTATCTTTACAGTTACTCGTTTCTCAAATGTTTCTCCATCTCTTTGTTGTGTGCGTTGTTTCGTGAGTAAAAACTTCAACTCTAATGAAATGAAATATTCTTTCTATGTATATCTCATACATGCTTGTTTTTCGAACTCTGTTCAGTGTAAAATATCAGCAATTTTGTTTCGTTTTTTTTGTTTCTCTCAAATATGTGTGTTTGCAGCGTTTCGTGTGTTCGAATATTTAGAATATGTTTTCTTTCTTTTTTTTTCAGATTTTTCTTGTTCAGGGTAAGAAGGGTTCTTGCAACATTTACAATTCACATCGATAAGGGTGTGTCTGGGGACACAGTGGGGGGGACAAAAACACTACAAAAATTACACTTACATTTAGTCTAGATTCGCTTCTACCATTATACACACACATACATATGTATGTACATATATGTATACAGGATGTTTTATCAGCTGTGTATACATATATATTCATTCTTGTTTCCTTTTTTGTTTGTTTTGTTTAACTATACTGAAATTGTATCTCAAAAGGGATATAAAGCCATTTAAGTTTGTTTAGTTGTTTCATCAAAAAACCATTTCCATTCCATATCCGCACGGCATCAACAATTACTCCTTGTCATTCTACGAGTTGGAGGATCTTCTGCGATATCCTGTGGAGGCGGGAGGAGAAAAACTTACAACTACAAATCCTGCTTAAAATCAACGCGTGGGACGCCACTCTTTACAAAAGATATTACACATCTTTGACGATGAGGGGGAGTAGGGCACTGACAATTAAAAATTTCTCGCTTTTGGCCATGTTTCTGGTTTTTTTTTATGTATAATATTGTGTATTTCATTCTGGTGTTGTTTCTGTTTGTTTGTTTTTAGTATATAATTGCATAAAGTCAACATCATTAGCATTAAAACATAAACATAATTAAATATATATAGTATATTGGATAAAACTAAAAAATTAAATTTTCGCTCTGCATTCAGTTTCTTCTCCCTTCTCTACATTTATTATAAAAGTCAAATCATTTAAAAGTTAACCTCATTTCTGTTCACCTCTTCTCTTATTTTTTTCACTTGCAATCAGCATTTTGCACTAAAAATTATATCGACATTCTTTTTTTATTTTTATTTATCTTGCTCTCGCGTACTCTCTTCTTTAGCTCTTCTCTTTTTGCACAAAATGTTCTTCTCGAAACGAATTATAAAATTAAATTCAAAATGACATCAATCCGAAGAAACACGACACGGCCTTATGGTCTGTAGTGTTTCCTCTCACAAGTTTTAATGTTAATAATTTTTTCCATAATAAGAACTTAACGTAAATGTATCAGTGTGTGTGTATGTGAGTGTATGTGTTTTTGTGTGTGGAGGGTGTGTCTGTGTACGAATGATTGTGGGGGAGTGAATGTGATTTTCAATTGTTTTTCATTTTTATTTCACTTTGCTTTAATTTTTCTAATTTTTTCCTGCTGCGTGTCGCTTGTTTTTTTGCCTTCTAAGGGGTTTTGGGTTTTCTCATGCCTTGTTTAAATCTAACACATAATTTAGTTGCTTTTCGTTTAATAATATATATAATATAAAAACTAAATAATTAATACGTTCAAACGCATAGACCTATCTCCTCAACGAAAAACGCTTTCCGCCCAAACTCACAGAAATTCTCACAAGATGTTTTTCCTGTGATCATTTCCAGGGAGTTTGTGGGTTGGGGTTTTGAGGGGGGGAAGGAGAGGCTGTGTGGACTTTCCATAGGGTTTTCTTAGACGCACACTAGCTTTTGACATCATTCTCAGGTTGTTGGTTTATCTTTATCGTTTTTGTTTAGTTCATATAATTAATTAAATAGGTAGGTAGGCGGATGGCGCCATAAATATGTGTGTGTGTTGTGTGTTTGTTGGTTGCTGCTCTCAACAGAAATTCACTTAAACAAATGCCCAGCATTCGAGTGTTTTGATAACAAAGTCTTCTTGTGGCGCCAGAGGCTCATTGCCGTATGTGCTGCAATGCTGTGATCGTCCCTGATTGAGATCTCCATCAAGCCACAGACCAAAGCGACCACTGAAAATGGATGGATAGTGCGTTAGTATATCAAATGGTATGGGCATGCACGGGGTGTACTTACTCGCCAGCGCCAATCGACAGGCTCTCCATGTTGCCCTTGATAAAGTACATGTTCTCGCCAGTCCAATGGAAGACCTTGAAGCTGGGATTGAACTTGTAGAGCAGGGACTCACCGGTGCCATAGAAATGATCCGACACATGCAGCGAGCAGGAGGTCAGGGCACCAAATACCTATATAAATATATACAGGTGATAGTTAATCTTCATTTAAGATCTAGTTTAAACTTGGCTTACATTATTATCTGTGTCCTCGATGACAATTAAAACGGGACTCTCCAGGCGAGCCATCTTGCGGTACAGGGAGTTGAGGGCGAAACCATGTTGCGATGTGCTGAAGATCAAAGACCAGGAGTAGCCCTCGGCACGAGCGGGCAGATGAGAGCAAAGCTTTTCGCTGTAAGTAAAGGTGCAATACATAAATATAGGGTTCACTCAGAGCAGGTCAACGCATTTTCCAGTCAAAAGGGGAACGCAGCAGTTGAAGAACTTTTATATTTCATCTTTATGCTTAAAATACTTTGTAAATATATTTTAATCAACAACTTACCGATGCTCCTCTGTGAGGATCTCTGTCTTGCCAATTAGATCGGGAATGGGGAAGTCCAGGTCGAAGGAACCAGTCGCAAACAGTGAGGTCTTGCGATATTCATCTGTGCTCATGGACAGCACCTGGAGGAACGATGGATGATGGAGAAGAGTTTAGCATTAAAAAATATGTTTCAAGATTGCAAAATTAATCATAAAAAAAGCTAATTGATAAATATATCAATCATAAATCTAAATCAAAATACATATCCAACAAAATATATAGTTTCTCTTGTTGTTTTGGGTAGGGGGATTTCGTTGAGTTTCGTGGCTAAACGTGTTCACTGTGTGCAGTGCGTACTGTAGTGTGTGTTGTGAGTGTCTCTTGTGGTGGGGGTTTTTGGTTTGGAATTCAACTACAAATGAAAATCGCTCGCTTGGCATCGGCATCGGCACTAGCTGAGTGAACATAAATTACACGAAAAATGTACACTTAGAGAGACTGAAAGATGTCTATAATACAATGCTGAATGCAGAAGGATGCAGTAGTGAAAAACGGCAAAGGTGCAACGGAGTAGTGAAGCCTGGCAACAAGGCCAAGACATTGATGGAGACAAATGCAGATAGCACAGAGTTCAACTAAAATATTTCCCATAATTAGTATCCATTTCCATTCTAAAAATCAATTCTGAAAGTACAGCTTCGCTTTGTATAATCTGGCAACGCTGCGGCAAGTAAACAGATACCAAAAGAGATCAAAATATCTACAGTACTTCTTCGAAAGCGTTTTTTTTTATCATTAATTTCAATTAATCCACCATGAAAAATCCTTGCAAAATTTTGGGGATTAGTTTTGTCAGATAATTACTAAATATAAACTGAACGAATGCTACGACTGTGTTGGCAGTTGCTGAGGTAACGCCGTTTTCCTGCTTCGGCTCTTCTACAATACTCTGTTGGAACTGCGACTGGCACGAGTACTGTTACTGCTTCAGAGACTGCCTCTGGCTATGTTTCTACCACTTTTTGACACGGCTGTGACGGAGCTTTATGACGGGACCACCAAAGCGCTGAAATGCCGACTCCTTTACGTATTTTTCAGGCATTGCGATGTCCAACTCGGCGTCTTTGTATTGGTCGTCGTCGGCCTTCTTCGGGAATGGCTTCACCTCATTTTTAGGAAACTTTGATGATGAATTTACGATAGAGGAGTCCTGGCTGAATATACCACTTGACATATGCGACGCCTCGGGGACCTTCAGGCGGACAACGCTGGAGGAGGCATAGACTTGTCGGTTCTCGTCCTGCACCTGCTTCCGCCTCATTTTGCCCTGGCCAATTGTCAAGGGCTTGGGCTTGCCCGTGGACACACTGCGCTTAGAGTTGTCGTTGCTGGGGTGCCCTGTCGAGTCAGAGTCCACCTGCTGGGACTGGTCACGCCGCCCGAATAGCATGGAGGGATAGTGGATGTCATCGAGGCGTTTCGGGACGGTATGGCGACTTGTGCTCAAGGTGCCCCTCAGCACGTTCCGCTCGGAGGCCTCGCGGTCTGCCTCCGCTTGGACATACCCTTTTTTCATGTTCGTCCAAACGAAGGAATCTTCAGGCTCCTTCAACTCGGAATCATCGCCGTCGCGTGCCGCCTTGACAGGCGGCTGCTTCTTCGCCGAGACGGCCGCCTTGGACTTCAGCTGCAACAGAGGCGGATCCATGCCTCCAAAGAAATGTTTTCTCAGGAAGTCGCGCTCCTTCTTGGGCTGGTCGTATCGCTGATAAGTCACCAGTGTGGGTTCCTCGCGCTTCTCAGCAGGCGCTGGAGCTGAAACAGGCAGCGACGGTTCCTGTGCCTGTGTCGCTTGGCGAACAGAGGGTCGCTTGGGGGCTCCTCTGGCCATGGGCACGTCCATCAATTCGAAGTCTTCCAGCGAAATGGAGGCACTCGGCTGTGAGTCGCTCAACCGCATGCGTTGGTCGTGTTGCAAGGCCCTGGAGTTGCGACGCGTCGATGTGTAGACGTAGCGCTGCATGGCAAAGGCCTTGCGCCTCTTCAAGTCGGTGCTGCTGCTGTTTCTACTGGAGGACGGTTTGGACACCGCCCTGTTCGTATGGGTTTGCAGCTGCTCCATCGGCTTCGCGATATTGATCTGGCGACGTAGCGGATTCACCTTCCTCCCTAAAATTTCCTCCGAGACATCCTCTGTGTGGTCCATGTTCGGCGACTGTTGGGCTGTGGCTGTGGTCCTTGCCGGGTGCTTCCACCCCTGCAGCAGGTCCCTCTTCTGGTTTTCCCGACGAACGACGCAGATCCTTGAACGTACCGCCTCGTTGATGGGCATCAGCTCATCCGAAATGGACTTGCTGATCTCCAAGGCCATTCTCACACTCCGCCCCTCGCTGTAGCTTATTGGTTGGACATGGTTCTGTCGCTGCGCTGCCGATAGATGTGGCGTCCTCATCTCGGCATGAACAGACCCAGGCATAGGCATAGACGGTCGTATCCGGTTTTGCGGGGGGGCAGCCGTGGACATGCTGCGCTTGTAAATGCCCTGCATGGTGGCAACAATGCCGCCAGTGGCCTTCGAGGCATTCACCGTTCGGATGGCCAGCCTCGAGAGATTGATCTGATGGCTCTTCATGGCTCTTAAACTGAGTCAATCGCAATGTGAGTCTGAGTTCTTTTTTTTTACACAAATTTTGTACTTTTAGAATAGATTTGGATTTGGTTGTTGAACAAATTCGGAATGAGAACGTATAAATCTAAACTGAAACGAAATTTCTAATATTTTGGGAGAGATATGTTCTGAACAGAAGGCAATAAAATACTGACTGGCGAAATATACGAGCCATTTTTCTGACATTAAAGTCGTGTCTTGCTTTATCACCCATAAAACAAATAAATCTCTCACCCTAAACACTCTGTGGAGGCAACGCGAACGCAGTTTTCCGTGTAATCCCATAGTGGAGGAGGTGAGAACTAATCGATTGGGGGTCCAGTAATATACTGAACCCGAAGCACATTATCTTCATTCTTCATTGGCTATTTGTGTCATTCAAAACTTTCAATTTCAATCGAATCTTATCCCGCAATCACAGCTATCGGCTATCAGCAAGGGAAAAGCTCCTTCGCATTTGTGAAATTCAATTCTCTGACTAATTCGAGTGGGTTCGCTGTTCACCCACTTTCAACATACATATATATTTAATTGTATTTATTTGATTGTTGTTGTTTTATTCTGGCATTGACAGCGTGTGAATATTTCGCCATGAGACGTCAATGAATCGAAAATGTCATTCCTTACTTCTTCCCTGTGCACGATCAGAGCTGTAATTGCCAAAATAAACTGTGATTCGGATAGGTTTTGCGCACACTATGGGTATGGATATGAATATAAGATTATCCAAGTGCTAATCAAAGAAAAGGCATAGAAACAGGTTACTTGATTAAATAAAAACTAATCCCAAGAGCAGACAACACCTGTATCTGCGGTGTGCCCCCATATGGCGCTCGGCAATGATTTATTTGGGAATTATTTGTCATTTTTTGTAGGAATTACGATGCTCCAAACGTGATCTATGCATTAGCAAGTCTTCAAAGCACACCAAAAACAAAGCATATCCCTAATATAACCCACAAATACTATATATACAAATTTATGAGGGAATGGGAGTGCGCATCGCAGTTTGGATGGTTTCATTAGAGCCAAGATCCCAAAATTGATTGATTGGGCAGGCGGCACTCGAGTTGAAGAACCCCTGCCCTGAGTGGTAATGTTTCGACTTTGACTTTGATTATGGTAGGATTATAGTCAGTGCCATTGTACAGCTTTTGGCATCATAAATCAATTATGAACGAGCCACAGAGTTGCATACATAAATGAGAGTCATGCAACGTGTGACCTCGGTTGCAATTAGCCAAATATCACATACTGTCACATACTGAATGATTCGTTTCGTGCTCTGGTAAAGCTCTATAGAAGGTCGAAAGTTCTTTAGGCAGACAGACAGACAGGTAGAGAGAGAGAGAGTGAAAGACCTTCTAAAATAGGTCACTCCAAAAACATTGGAAAATCATTCAGACATTCCAAATTATACGAATATATTATGTCCCTTTATATGTGCAAATATTGCGCAGATTCTTAACAGAATTGAGGCGTGACCGAACCACTCGACGGAGCAGTGTGGGAGGGAGGGAGTGTGTGTCGGGAGGAGTACAATTAAAAAACAAAACGCAATTTCATCAGTGGACAAAAGTAAACAACAAATAATCAGCGAGATTTCAACGCACTCCACAAAACCCGAGATCAGATCTGAAACAGAATCAGATTCGGATTCCGAACAGATCCGATGAAAGCCAAAGTCAAACGTCAATGACAGTTGTTTGTCTGGTCTGGTCTGGTTGGGGCCTCTGGCTTTTTGTGGCCAGAGATCTGGTTGGTCTGGTGTCTGGCTTAGAGATCGTACGAGTGTCGTGTCACATATGATATGCATGTTTAAAGCACGATTTGGTGTTCGAGTTTGTGTTAATAGTTGTGCTTCCACTGTATGAGCATCAGATATATTATATTTATTGAAAAAACACAGCTGGGAAATCACATGAGTCATGTGTTAAACCATATTTTACCTCACGACTGAGACCATGATTGACGGGGACCATCAATTCGCACATTTTCATGTAGGGATTGTTCGAGATTGTTGTCACTTTCAGTCAAAACGGAATATTTCACAGAAACCTTTCGATTCACACACGCAAACGAGGCGTATGAGCAATATCTGAATACGAGCACGTGCTCGACACAGTTCTAGATCCTCTGCTTATCGTCTATTGAACTTTTTTTCTATGCAAATCTGGGATATCTTGAGTGGATGGCTGAGATCTCTACCGTTTTCGATCCGATAATAATCGCGCTCTGGAGTAACTCGTTTCGCGTTTAAATGCCAAATGAATGTTGAATCACTTCAGTCGCTCTTATTGGCCCGTTCCTCGCTCGAAAATCTACTCAAAACGTCACTCTCGACTCGCTTCCACTCACTTCTCTCTAGGTTGAGAGTTAGCACAGCGACAAAGAGAGAGAAAGACAATGGAGAGAACAGCAAAGCCAAGAGGAGGAGTGGCTCTGGGCTCTAGTCTCTGTGTGGAATAAAATAAAGTAATAATAAAGCTGAAAAGTGACAAATTGCTTATGTAGAATTCCCATTCCCCATTCGCTGTCTCTCTCTGAACTAAAATGCAACCCCATTGTGCATTTCTATACATTATTACCTACTCGTTTTGTTAATACATGTGTACAATTATCTAGCTGATAAATTAACTAAAAAGTGTGTCAAAATGTATTGGGCGAGATATATAAGGGCTCAAGGTGGGAGAAACCTTTCAAATTTATGTTTTGATGTGTGTGAAAGTTTCTAGCAATGTAAATAGAGTTAAAATACAGATAGATTGGGATAGAACTGATCGAAAATGTATGTTTTGTTGTATCATTTTATCGTAATAGAGTTCGGTTGCACAGAGAGAAATAATAATTGGAGAAATTAAGACAGAATATATTGGAATTAACATTAGGAGCCCATCAAACTTATTTAAAATGTAAATCAACTAGAGATCTTTACTCGTTATTAGCCAGAAGATATATGTTCCCTAGATAGCACACATACTCGTATACTCAAATGGAAGTTACTTCATTTCTGTCCGATAGGGTAGCAAAAATCGGTTAAGTTCTATATGGTGGCCATATACTAAGTGCAACCAATAAATATTTTACGACATTTTGAAGTCGTAGAACAATAAACTGTGTTCGCTCGGGTCTTGATTTGTACGATTAGAAGATAAAAGGTAAATGCATAAATCTCAAACGGAATCCCCCCTCCCAATCAACTCCGTCACGATTAAACAAATGCCATTTGAATTTAAGAATAGAATTGGTATTATTTTTGCACACAAGATTCTGCATTTGTTTTTCTTCTCACCGAACTTTTGATAAGATACCGTAGAAATCGAGTTGCGTCTCTTTATCAATTAATAATTAATTTAGAGCACTTAATAATTGACTGGCAGGCAGAAGATCATAGATTTTGATTGAGAGATTTGCAATGAATTTAAAACGGGGCCATCGAAACTTGCGAAGGTGAGAGAACTGTCCTTGATTGATTGATGATATTTGTGTGTTCATATCTCTATAGATAGACACACTATTTTGAAGCTGCACTTGAGTGGGCGCCGCGTACTTTGTTTGTGGTTTGTGGCACGGCCGCGGTAAACATGTTCCGCAACGGTTCTGCATCAACTGGTTCCCGATTGTGACTCAAACGAAATCGTGTCGGAGGTCTGCTCCGGGCCAAAAAGTTTTAAAGTAAACAGCAGCAAGTCGAACCGAAAGAACCGGCCCCAATACGTTGGAAAGAGCAGCGACAAAATTATAAAAAAAGGGTTCAAGATATTCCGACAGTGGGATACCCAGCTAAATAAATAATTATTGTTGTAAAACTTATAAGATTTTAATAATTTTGTGTTAATAAGTAGATATTTATGTTCTCTATTCACAGCTCAATCGAATTTTAATCAACTACTATTTTGACAACTATGGATACCAGGGCATCCGAGAAGTCTGTTCTGTAACATTTTGTAGTTCTACACGAATATGGGATACAGACAGGCAAAGAAGAATCAGAGAAGTGGCAAAAAAGAGCCAAAGAAGAAGCGAAAGAGAGTCAAAGCACCGGCAAGCGATTAAACCGCTTGCCCCGCAAAAACAAGTCTTAAAACCTGCAACTTTTTGCTGTAACTCGAAACCCCTTCCCTCTTTGGGGTTGACTACGAAGGGAGAAAAACAAGAGTCAGGCGAAAACATTAATGCTCCATTGTATGCGGGTTAAGCATTACTTTGGCGACTTTTCCATGAGAAAAGATGCCAGAAAGAGGGCTTGGTAGTCGTAATTAAGTTATGCACGGGCACGAGGATGGGAGGCATGGGGAAAGGTGTGAAGCCAAAGCAAAGTTCCGAGACAGAGCATTTTTGTATGCTAAATGTGATTCTTTAAAGACTCTTCTTGGGCAGGGTTCTAACTATTCTTGTCCTGGAATAATGATATATATTTTAAAAGTCCAGTGCGCCTGACCCTAACTCGTTATTTGTAAGGCGTTATCGTGGGGCTTACAATTGTTGAGAAAGGTCTTTCATATTACAATCTTATCATTTTATGGGCTTAACAGTGTTCAAGAATACCTCTTAAGTAGCTTCTTTGAATGTTAAGTTGTTGAACCTATTTGGGCGCTAAGTAGAGCTACTGTTCTTTAGATATTTCCTGTTCTGTTCACCGATTTCTTATCACTTCATATCTTATATTCATTTATATATTTTCTACATGTTTGAGTTTACTTATCAGTTATTGTTGTGATTGCCAGTGCTGTTTTTCTTTCTATTGTTGTTCAAATGCATTAGGAGAATGGAGAGCGTGAAGCAGTGCCGTGCCGCCTTTTGTTGAGGTGCGCAATTTCTTTACATTTGTTGTTTACTCGTACATATTGTACATACATATTTCTTGCATCACACTTTGTATCCTCTATTGTTGTTCATCTGTCTACGTCTATGCAAATATTTAATTAGTTGCAAGTCTGTCGTCTCCAGGGTAACTTGGGTTAGTTGGGGAGGTCAGGCCATACTGTTTGCCAGAGCTAAATAGTGTTTTCTTTGGCCATATTTCTAGAGAATTATCTAATGGGGTTTACGAATCATACGAGTACTGGAGTGTAAACCCACTAACCCCAGGCAGAGCATTGACCCATGGCACTCACTGCAATTCGAGATCGAGACACGATGACACGTTGAGACGAATGGGGTTCGTCT